TCTAGTGAACTGTAAAGTGTGAAATAGCGACAGTGTTATAGATGTTTGTAGTTGCGACCTGTAAGTGGTCAATAAATCCATTCACAATCCAAATCCCGCCTATAGTCACGCATACTGCTTGACAGTATCCTACCATCGGTCAATACTTTTGGTGCTGTATAATTTGGATACTGACAGAGTCGTAAAATGAACTACGGAGAAGGAGAAACGAATCCTGTCGGACCTAACAGTTGAAGGGGCGGAAGATGAGATCTGGGGTGGGGGGGATGTTGCTGAGAGGAGGGTGCACATCGTTTGTTGTTCTGTGATGTTCTCAAGCTTGACCGCAGAGAATCCGGCATGCCACCTTAGCCAACGCGGGGTCGTCAGCACCTAAAGTCATAGCCACATCAACGGTCCATCAGTCCATTTGCCCAGGACTCACTTTCGAGAGTCCAGTAATCAAATGGCTGAAGCCCGAGCGTATGCTTTTGGCATTCAGTTTGTGTCACTGAGCTCAGCGTGGGGCAGGAGGGTCTCTGAAAGGTTTTTTTTTTCGTTGCTAAGGTCGTTAAAATGATTTATGTTAAAGAAAGCAGTCTTCTGGGATTTGGCACCGTGTATATGTGGTGTTAACCGACGTTTCGGAGGAACGTATCGCCTCCATCTTCAGGGTAGAAGAAAAAATATAAGAAATCGGCAAGCGAAGAGACCGTGAGAAACGGTAAAAGCAGACTGTGCAGCAATCTTCGCTTGCAGATTTCTTATATTTTTTCTTCTACCCTGAAGATGGAGGCGATACGTTCCTCCGAAACGTCGGTTAACACCACATATACACGGTGCCAAATCCCAGAAGACTGCTTTCTTTAACATAAATCATTTTAACGACCTTAGCAACGAAAAAAAAAACCTTTCAGAGACCCTCCTGCCCCACGCTGAGCTCAGTGACACAAACTGAATGCCAAAAGCATACGCTCGGGCTTCAGCCATTTGATTACTGGACTCTCGAAAGTGAGTCCTGGGCAAATGGACTGATGGACCGTTGATGTGGCTATGACTTTAGGTGCTGACGACCCCGCGTTGGCTAAGGTGGCATGCCGGATTCTCTGCGGTCAAGCTTGAGAACATCACAGAACAACAAACGATGTGCACCCTCCTCTCAGCAACATCCCCCCCACCCCAGATCTCATCTTCCGCCCCTTCAACTGTTAGGTCCGACAGGATTCGTTTCTCCTTCTCCGTAGTTCATTTTACGACTCTGTCAGTATCCAAATTATACAGCACCAAAAGTATTGACCGATGGTAGGATACTGTCAAGCAGTATGCGTGACTATAGGCGGGATTTGGATTGGTGAATGGATTTATTGACCACTTACAGGTCGCAACTACAAACATCTATAACACTATCGCTATTTCACACTTTACAGTTCACTAGAGCACACAGTCTAGTGTTCTCACTCTGTTACTAGACGTTTCCTGGTAACGGCTCCAACAATGGCTTTGCTCTGCCTCCGGCTCAAGTCCTCTCTTCACAGACTCCCGTACACAACTGACTGACCTGACCTTGTCCCTTACTTACAACCTGTGTGATACACATAACAACACAGGGCGCCTCGAACATCGACAGGACGACACTAAAGAATCCTATTTTCCAAACAACAGAACCATAAGGCGGTAGACCCTTCGCTTCCTTTAAAGAGAAGAAATAAAAAGGACACGAACCAATTCGGTTTAAAAACTTTTAACAAAATCTTAAACATAGTATTGTAACTAACATTCCAGCCGCACTATGACCTTGGGATCGACTCAGTCTCTAACAGAATTGAGTAGCAGGAATCTTCCTGGGGGTAAAGGGCGGCCGGTGCGTAAGACTGACCTTGCCGCCATTTATGAGCAGACTGTCTAGAAAATGCGGGAGCCTCGACGGCTCACAACCCTATGACCCTCCACCTTACCGTTACCTTACCGTTATGTGTTGTAGAGTGGTATGTTTTTTTGGTGATGTGTATGTGTTTCCTTCCGTTACGTCGTGTGTAGGCTCATAAAATATGCACACGACAGTTTCCTTCCAAATTTATATTCACTCTAAGAGAAAAAAACGGACTGAGATATCTGAGAACAAAATGCGAAGGAGAATGTTTCGACCAAAGAGAGAGGAAATAACTGAAGGCTGGAGAGAACTCAGCATAATGAGGGGCTTCGCGACTTGAACTTTTCGTCAAATTAGAGTGATCATATGAAGAAGAATGAAATGGTGGGGAGGGTTTATGTTGCACGCGCGGGGAGATGAGAAATGCATACAAAATTTTAGTCGGAAAAGTTCATGGGACTCAGATCATAGGGCAGAGCTAAGCGCAAATACAGGAACGATATAAAGGCAATCTTAAGAGAATGACATGAGAAATAGTGGAGTGGATTCAGAATAAGGTGCAGCGGAAAGCTCCTGTGAACACAGTAAAGAACCTCCCGGTTCCATAAAAAGAATAATTTTCACCAATTTCGCACGAAGGATCCTTGCATGAGTTGGTTAACTTGAAAATATTTAGGAGTCTTAGAAATACAATGTACTTCCGGCGCCTCCAACAAAGATCATGACAATACTAGTTTTCTTCTTTATGTAATGCTGATTTCAGTCTACTGTCGCATGTAGGGTGGTTTGCGTGACGAAATGACGTGTTCTAGTCGGATTGGATTTATTAGCACCTTCATTACAACCTCCCTTAATCACATTTAAGTACAGCGCTATTGCTTATTTACACACACTGATCGTCTCCTGGTAACACAAAACACAGGCACTGGCGCTTCTGAGCTCTCCGACGTCTTCTAATCGCACTCCACAGGTCGAATTCTTATTCCTCTTCTACGACGAACTCAGAACTGTCACTCACTAGTTCCAATTCGCTCTGAATTTCAAAAGTTAAGTTTCTTGTTTTTTGTTTATTGCTAGTCCCTTGCACTGCGGCCACTTCTGGCCTATTGTACCAGCCGCAGATGATAGGTGAGGGTGATTGTGGAGCAATTGGTGGAATGAAGATTGGCAGGGGAAACCGAAGTACTCGGAGAAAACCGCGGCGGCCTGGGTTCGACCCCGGGTCTTGTCAAATGGGATCTGTGGTGGACAAAGTGGCGCTGGGGCGGGTTTTCTCCAAGTACTTCGGTTTCCCCTTACAATCTTCATTCCACCAAATTCTCCATCATCATAATCACCCGGGGCAGGCTACAATAGGCCAATCAGTGGCCGCCGTGCCGAGTGGACCCAGTTGGACTCCACCCCCCACTAAGCGAAAAGCTATCCCTGTAACAGGCCGTGGAGACCCATAGGGTTGTGAGACGTTCAGGGTTCCACATTATCTACACAATCGGCTCACAGATGGCGGTAAGGTTGTCAGCCTTAGGCGCCGGCCGCGCTTTACTCCCCAGGAAAATGATTTAATTAATTCCTGGTACTCATTTCTGTTAGAGGCTGAATCGACCCCAGGGCCATAGTGCGGCCGG